TAGACTCGGCCGTGTACTTTGGTTCGTTGCATTATATATAAAAGTGTATTTTTTGATTTGCTTTAAAAGGGGACCTTCCCTTCATATTGTATCGGTCGGCCGTGTACTTTGGTTCGTTATTTTATATATAAAGCGGGGCGAAATCCTGTTTCAAAAGTTGATAGTTTATTATCTTTGATTTTTTATTGAACTGTTAAACCCATAAGTTGGCTTAAACAAGACCGTTTATACATCTCTAAAGCGAAGTAACTGATTCGTGCCTACTATGAACGTGAAGCTGATCACAAGAACGCGCACCTGCTTACCCTGGAGGGAGCCCAGGAGAGGTTAGCCTTATGCCGCGCCGATCTCCTGGACCGTGACAACCTCTGTTCAGTGTTCAGCGGATGCCATGGCGTTTTTCATGTCGCCTCCCCGATCTCGGAAACCGACCCTGTGAGCCCACAAACTCTCTGGAGATTCCGTACGCAGCTCCGAATATATACATGGAGTGTATTTACTTGCATATGAATCTAATTTGTAGGAGCTCATGGTGGTCGCCGTGGAGGGAACCAGGAACGTGATCAACGCGGCGGCTGACGCGGGCGTGCGGCGTGTGGTGTTTACTTCCTCCTACGGCGCCGTGCACATGGATCCCAACAGGAGCCCGGACACGGTCGTGGATGAGACGTGCTGGAGCGACTATGACTTCTGCAAGGAGACTGGCGTATGATCTGGCTCAATTTCATCTGCATAGCCTGCCCCATCGATCACGCCCGATCTTCCTTGTAATTGAAGTGAGCTTAACAATCCTCGATCGTGTGCAGAACATGTACTGCTGCTCGAAGATAATGGCGGAGATCACGGCGAAGGAGGAGGCGGCCAACAGGGGGCTGGACCTGGCAGTGGTGGTGCCGTCGATGACGATCGGCCCCGCGCTGCAGCAGAAGCTCAATCTGGGCATCGCCTTTATCAACCGCTACCTCACGGGCGCCAAGAAGACCTGCCCCAACGCCGTGGCCGGCTACACCGACGTCCGCGACGTCGCCCGCGCCCACGTCGTCGTCTACGAGCGCCCGGACGCACGCGGCAGGTACCTCTGCATGGGCGCCGTGCTGCACCGTGCCCATTTCCTCCAGCTGCTCCGAGACCTTTTCCCGCAGTACCCCATCACCGACAAGTACGTACATAATCAATTTCCACCGGCGTACGTCCGTGCATGCATTGCTTGCTCTCTTCCCCCGAAAGTGATTTGTAACGACGAGCGTTTAATGGTGTACGTGCATGTGTGGCAGGCGTGAAGATGACGGCAAGCCGATGGCCAAGCCGTACAGGTTCTCCAACCAGAGGCTGAGGGACCTCGGGTTGGAGTTCACTCCCCTCAAGGAGAGTTTGTACGACATGGTGGTATCCCTGCAGCAGCATGGTCACCTGCCTGTTGTTCCGGGGCCAGATGGTCCACGCCTCTAAAAAAAAAAGATGTGCACTACTGCTGCATTAGCCCAATATCAATAATGTGAAATAATACAATAATGATCCAACAATAACAAGCATGGTGTCTCGCCCTATTGTTCAATCAGACTCCTCCTTCTGGTGATTGTTCAATCAGATTCCCCGGAGGCCTTGCAGGCACTATCAAAGTTCGGAATGGACCGTCCAACACTTGGACATGTGACAAAGATTAGATAATTGATGACAGAAAGTGAGTTTATTCCACAAAAGATTCATCGAACAGAATAGAGTGGCAGAACGTATGGCAAACTATAGTCACACAGATTGTACTATGTCGGTGTGGCTTAACCAAAATCCCACTTGTATTGAGAAACTTGTGCCTCTCCTTTGTAATACTATACCATCTTAAATGAAATTCCATTTACCCCGCAAATAAAGCATGATGTCTCACCCTATTGTGTGCAAAACCTCTAAATGCTGGACATGAAGTATGTAAGCTTGAGCTCACATGATCTTGGATGAACAGTAAAATCCAAAAAATAGTAAAAAAATAAAAAAAACTGATTTTTTTGGCGAGAAACGTTGATGTTTTTTTTTACATCCATGCAAAGTTTCATGATGGAATCACATTTGTGGAGGTGTGCACAAAAACAAATTAATGTTCGAAACCACACCTCCACAAATGTGATTCCATCTCGAATATTTGCATGCGTTTAGAAAAAACATCAATGTTTCGTGACAATAAAATTCAGAATGTTTTGAATATTTTTTCTATTTTTTCAAATTTTAATGTTCATCCGAGATCATGTGAGCTTAAGCTCACAATAGCACTTT